TCGTTCAATGTCATTAATTTATTCAACAAATGATAAACGTTTATTTATTTTATATCGTTTTGGTGAATATTTAGATATATATCCAAAAGAAAAACGTACTTGGAAACGACGACATTTATGTGATTCAATATCAGAAGATATTGCTTTAATTCGATCATCAAATGGTTAAATTAAATCTTTTTCTCTTTTGTTTATTTTTCAATAATTCTTTCTTAGGTGATTCATTTCTACTTGGTTTACTTATTGTTGAATGAAATGGTATATGGCGTGTTGATGTTTTTTCATCATCATTACATAAACTTCATACAGGTTTTCGTTTTAATGGATGGACACGTGATACATGGCTTTCCGAATGGTCTCCTTATAAATGTTGGTTTGTCGGAAGTACACATAGATTAATGATCGATTCAAAAGGACAACCAATTAATATTTCAATAGATCAATTTGATTCTGATATAAATAATATTAATTGAATGATTAATACCAATAATAATCAAATCAGAATGACTGTTACACGAGGACAAAAACTACTTACTCTTTTTAAATAAATTTTTTCTTTTTCTTTCATTAAAAATAAAATGAAAGAATTTATTTCAAATAGAAATATTAACTTTAGGATTTTCTATTCAAATATTGATTATTTTTCAAAATATGACAATTTTTTTTTCTAATATATTTCTTTTCTCATAAATAAACTTAAAATATTCGATAGTCACACACACATACGCACACCTACAACACATTTGTCATTGATTAAATATAAAAAATAATAGTTTATAATAAGACTTCAAATTGCACTTTGCTCTTGGAATGTTTACATGTCATTCAAAAAGCACGACACCAAGCTCATTCTTCTCTTCATGTAATAATCGAGAGAAAAACAGCAGATTTTAACATACTTTAGCACACATTAAAGGGTGTTCGGGCAACCCTTGCGAGATTAAAGTGTAACAGACGATGTACGTTGTTGTTGATAATCACAGGAAGAGATGTATCCAATGATACAATCGAATAATTATTAACTTATGTTCAAAATAGTTTTCTAATATTGTTTCACTTATTTTAAAGCAAATTAAATTTTCCT